AGAGAGAGACAGAGAGAGACAGAGAGAGACAGAGAGAGACAGAGAGAGACAGAGACACAGAGACAGAGACAGAGACAGAGACACAGAGACAGAGAAGATAGAGACAGAGACAGAGACAGAAACAGAGACAGAAACAGAGAGGCAGAGAGAGAAACAGAACTTTACCTCTGGTCAAAATCTCCTCCAAGGAAGGGCAAGCAAAATGCAGTTTCTTAGGATCTTTTACTTGTTCTTACTGATTAAAATATACGATAGCTAAAATCCTGTTTAATTGAAGACTTCCAAATGCTGGATTTACTGATTTCCAGGTAATAATGAGGAAGACCCCTCAAATCCAGGTGAGGATTAACTTCACACAATATTTCTACTATATTTTGTAGTTATATATACTTTGTATAAACATATATAGTAGAATATAAAGAAATCATTTATCTATGGGGATTTTTTTCTTTAAGTCACACACATTTGAAAAAATTTGTTGGGATCATTTACTTGGAAATATTCCCAACACATTTCCTCAGGGTGCACCAAATTTTTTAAGCAGTGGCCTTTCACTACTCAAATCTGCCTGGATTTCTTTCTGCTGATATTCCTCTTACTTTCATTATTCATTTGGTCTCTTATTCTGTGTTTGTCTTTGTCTGTTTCCTTCACAGCACTGTTATTGAATGAGCTTGGTAAGCATTTCATTTCTTGCATTTCCTTTCCATTTTTTTTCCTAAGTTTTTTTCCATCTGGATTACATGAGACAGTAGTGCTCTGATTTTTATCTCCATTGACTTGCTACTAAGACTGTTGTTGAAAGCCATTGGCCATTTTTAAAACTAAAACCAAATCATTTGTATTACATTTTTAATTTAGTTCAACCTGTATAAAAATCAATGATTTTCTACGTATGCACAAGAATCAAGTTTGTGCACTAATTTCATAATCTTGAAGAATTAATGATCTCATATAAAGGGATGTTTTCAAGTTCTTCTTAATTGTAATATGATTTGGCAAAATTTCATACTTTGGCAGGTTATAGAACAGTCTAATGTTACTGGTATTTGTTATTTTGAGTATAAGTAAAATTGTAACATTTGCTTATTTTTTTTTCTTTTTTAGGTGGCTTCACAATAACAGGTATGGATTTATGAAATCTAATCTTAATTTAATTTTTATTATCTGTTCTCAGCATGTTACATGTTTAAAAATTATTTCTTGTTTTTCTTTGTTTTAATAAAGGAAAATACATGTATGGTAAGACAATTTTTTTAAAGTTCCTATTTCCCAAAAATTACTTTCTAAATTAAAACAAGCCCAAATGCACATCTTCTATAACCAGCATTAACAATGAATCATGATACATGGTGTGCTCTGGCTGGTTTTTATGCATTTAACATTTTACAAATTAACAACGTGCGTGTAGTGTGTTTATTTCTAAAACTATAACCCATATGTGGAATGTATAATTGTTTGCATTTGATATTGGCCAATTTACAAATGCCTACATGGCACTGAGAATGTACAGTACACTCTGCTAGGGGCTACAGACAGTTTCTGGCCTCTTAAAAACATAGGGAATACACCCACATCCACTCCATAGCCACACTTAGGATCCCGATAGCAGGAAATGCTCCACTGGGAAAGGACAGAGAAATCCCTTTCCTCCAACCACCATCCCAGGCGGAGACCCTCTTTGGAAACTTGTTTTGTTTTGTTTGGTACTGGGGATTGAACTCAAGACCTGGCACTTGCCAGGCAGGCATGGTTTTGGTTTTAATGACATGGTAACAGGTAATATTTCCGCCACTTCAGGAACATTACGAAGTATTCCTTGGAAACTCAAAGGCCAACTGAAAAGTTTAAAACCCTTAAATTCCAAATTGTATCAGCCTGTTCATTCTATAATTTAGCACATCTCTAAAGCAATTTTCTTGTGCACAAATGGACGACATTCCCTAGCAGCAGCCTCTTTGGTACCTAAATATCTTCTCACCCTTTTGGAATCATATATGCAGATTTAGAAAGGAAGCCAGATAGCAAATAATAACTATGATCTATCAGAAGCTGCAGATTGAAGATGTGTCTAACGGCTTACATCCTATAGCCCACATGTCCTTTTTCACTGCAATGTGTGAATATCAAAATTAAATTAAAGAGCTGAAAAAATATTTAGAAGGAAATGCCTTGAAAAGTTCTAATAATTAAAACACTAGCATGGGAGATGGGGTTAATGTAAAATATGATTCATGTTAACTCAAAAACATGTAGTTCCAAAGTGATTCTATCTAAAGGGAAACTTTCTAAATAGGGGCGGTTTAACATAAATTGTTACTTTCCACTGAGTCCCTCCAGATCCAGTATTTAATGACAAACGATGCACAGACTCTGAGACATACAGAGTTTGAAAGGGATAAAAATGTTGAACAGGAAATGTCTTCATAAACGATTCCTTAAATCTGATTCATCTGGATCTCTCCCAAGCCTCCAGTTCTAGACCACTGAAAGCATTTATGAATCCAAGAACAAGAATTTACGCTTGCTTTAAATTTTTATCTTCTTCTCATCCATAATTTTAGCTCCATAAAAGCTTCTTGAAAACTATTCTCACTCTCATGCTCAAGGATAAATTAGTTACCCTTGAGGGATGGAGGAAAGTAGAAATGGTGCGAGCCAGCCTCAAACCTGCATGGAAGTAATTATTTGTCTAAAGTCAACCAATGTGGAAATAGTACATTACTTGACAGCATCTTTGGTTCTTTGGCGCCTGATAATGAAAACTCAACTAAAAATATTTGGATGGAATGCCTTCATGGCCTTGGATATCTTCCATCTTCCTGTTTTCTCCATCATTGAATATGTCAAGATTTCATTTTTGAGGCTTTTCTTCTAGGTCTCTTGATCTAGGTTTTTTTTAGTGTCTCAGGTAATTGGATCCTCATTTTCTTTTCTCAAAAAATTCTTCACGTTAATTTCCATCTTGTCTGCCCATTCGTCTCTCCCTTCTTTTGCCACCTCTTGCATCCAGGATGACGGAATCACTTGTTCCAAAACTTTCTCCTGGAAGGTCATTCAATTTCTTCTAAAAACTTAAACTGTAATAACACTTTTTCAATTATTATTATCCTGCCTCTAGCACTTCAATTTAATATCAATAGAACAACATCATGTTCTGGAAATTTCTGCATTGCCCTGTCTATTTCTACTGAACTAGACACCGGGCTACTTTACATTCACTTCTTCTCCCAAGTCAGACCAGAACACCCAGGATTCACTCTCTACTGATGTTTCTGAGGGAAGTTCTAAAACTTTGAGACTACACAGTGAAAGCAGCTTTTTTTAAGACCCTAAAGAGCGTTTCTTTGAAGTCAGTATGAGGCTTTGAAGTCAAGGCTTTAAGATGCAGGGAAAAAAGAGAAGAACTAATCTAGCTCTTGGACTTTGCCTGAAGCTTTTATACACACTTGTATAACTGCGTGTGAATGTCTAAATTTAAAGAGGATATATGAAAATTGAAAAGGCCATTTGGCCCGCAGCCTAATGCAACTATTTCAGAAATCTCATTAGTGGTGGACATTACGTTCTGGAGGTTCTTTGGGCATTTACCTGTTGCTCTAGATCTTGCCTAATTTTAAGATCCATAGTCGGACCTATGATATCATTGTCCTTTAACCTCCTAGTTGTACGATAATATCCCATACATTATAGCTCATTAGAGTTTGTAAAGATTATCATTTTATCACTGTTATTATGGCTTTTATTGTTTCTACTTATAGCCATGAGAAAAGGTTCAAAGAGATTAATCTTCTACTTCAGGTCAGTCATCCAAGAGTCAGAGCCAAGCCCACTGACTTTAAATAATAGTCTATGTCATGACTGTCATAAGCCCTCTACTATTAATTACCTTACACCCAATCCCTTTATTTCTACCCACATCTTGAAATAACGCAGTGAATCCCTTGTCAACCCAAAGTCTAGCTATGTCTTATAAATGCCATCACTGTGAGTTTCACACAAGTGGAAAATGAGGGGGACCATAAATGGGGGGAATAGAGCATGTAAGTAGGGATATTATAATAAAGTTCAGTGTTCTGCTTTAATATGTAGAGGGAACAAGATATATTAAATTCCTCTAAAACATCTAGGACATGAAAGATATATCTTAGAATTATATAGCATTAAATATACCTCATTAATATTATCCCCACCCTTTGTAGTGTGTACATGCAACAGAGTTGGTAAGGTGTATTTTAAGAAAATCAAACTCTGAAATTTCTGACCATTGGAAAAATGTTCTTCACTCCAGTATATAAATGGGAGGAAGAAAGCCCCTTTACAGTTACTTCATTTTACAACTGAAAAAAATTGAGTCTCCAGGAAGAGAAATGCCCTGCCCAAGTGTAGATGACAAACAAATGGCAGAGCTACTTCACTCAGAGCTGTGAATGGGGAGGGTGGGCACTGTTATCCCCACTTGCCATATTGGAAACTTGAGAAATTAACTTCAGTGTGAAATTTTGGCACTGACAAACTTCAAAGCCAAGACACCTGTCGCTACACCAAGCGCTTTCTGCTGTTTGGTGATGCCTCTGGAAGCAGTAATTTGAAAGACCTGGATACTGTATTTCAAGGATATGCAGGAATCTCACTCTACCCCACACCCTGGGCATGTGACTTGCCTCCTGAAGCATTTCCCCATTCGTGGGCAGTAACCATAGCAACTACCAAAGCTTCCTCTTGTGACCTTCATGGGGGTGGAGAATGCCACCCAATTCTTAAACTAACATGGCCTGCAGTATGTGCATCTGGGTGTGATATTTACATAACTAATTCCACAGAGGTCTGATGGCAGATTCATGCAGTACATTCTGCTGATTTTCTGCTTGTCCTTTTGCTAGGCCAACCTGTCTTCAGGAAAGTTCATGCTAGAGAACATCCGATCCCCTCTACTGTAATCACCATCGCAGGTATTCATTTCCTCATGGTCCTTGAAAACCATAGTCATCAAGTATTCCTTGTGTTTTTAGACATTTGATTCCTGTATCACAACTCCTATCCCCTCAGAATAATGTAGTGGCTTCTCTGGCAGCAGAGGATGCCAAGGAATAGCAACGAAACACCCACATCAGGACACAGCAGAAAACATTACGGAGGGGGCAGCCTGGACATAGGGAAGTTGGCCCATTGGCCTCTCCCTGTCAAGTTCCAGAATATTCTGGATTTCTTGAAAATATGCCTTCTCATATGAATCCATCATTTCACCCAAAATGAAATTCTTTGAAGGCACCAAACGGTATCTCTTCCCACAGTCTGCCTTTCCTGGTGAACAGATGATATGTGTGTGGAGTTTCTCCACAGGAGGGATAAAGGAATGTGGACAGAGTGATTAAAGGATGAACTAATTCTAGCAGATCTACCCTGGGGTAGGGCCTGCCTGCTGTATCCTGGCACTAAGTCCCTGGCTGAGGACAAGAAGGTTGGCTCTCTACTTGCTGCTGCTGCCCACCAGGTAGCATGATGGTAGAAACACTTCTGTTGGATCCAGTGGACCTGTAACCATGATAGCAGCCAAGACTAACTAATTATTCCATAGTATTCCTCAGCAAATGTATTTTTTAAATCTTCATATCACCTATACGATGATTTGTTTTGACTGAATATTAAGCATACTATTAGGGACTGAAAATTGGTGTAATTTTCCATAAATACAAAATAAAGTAATTGCACAGTGGAAAATGTTATGAATATCTAGCTAGATATTATCAAATGTTCCATTCAGGAGAACTTTTTTTCTTAAAATGGTAGTGAGGCAACATTAATGGACAAATAAGATATTTTTAGGACAATGAATAACTGAAGAAATTTATGATCACCAAACCAATTCAACAAAGTATACTGAGAGATATTCTAGATAGAAAGAGAATTTTAAAAATAGCCACAATACCAGGAACATCAATAGAAAAGCTACCAGGTAAGGCAGGCAATTCAACAGAAGGGAATGCCAGAGAACCTATAGAAGGAAAAGAATATGGCAAAGATAAGCCAATACATATCAATTATAACATCAATGTGAATGGTCTCAATTCAGCAATCAAAAGAGACACATTGGAAGAATGGATCAAGAAAGAAAATACAGCAATATGCTCTACACAAGAAACATATGTAACTCTAAAAGAGCTTCATAGAAAGTCAAAGGATGAAACTCAGTACTTCATACAACAGAAGCCAGAATAAAAGCAGAGATAGTATTCTATGTGCAGTATATACTTCACAATGTGAAGTATAAACCAAGAATCATCAAAAGAGACAAAGAGGGTCACTACATGTTTGTTAGGGGAAAACTTCAAGAATAGATAATCATAATACATACGCACCAAAGGGGCACCCAACTATATAAAACTAATATTAATGAAAATGAAAAATCAAATAAGCACAAAAACAACTATAATGGAGGTAAATTACCAGTGGTTCCCCACTGTCACAAATAGACAAACCATACCAAAAAAATCAGCACAGAAATATCAGAACTTAAACCTGTAAATCAATGGACTTGATGTTCATAGTGTTCCATCTATGGAATATCAGTTAAAATTCTCTAAATTTCTTTTAATTGATTTCTTCAAACTCTTTAATGAAATTAAAAGAAAAAGAATACTCCCTAACTCATGCCTGTAGGCAGGTATTATCTTGATACTAAAACCAGAGAAAGACCCAGCCCCAAAAGAGAACTGTGGGTCAGTCTCCCTAATGAACATAGATGCAAAAATCCTCTATAAGATACTAACATACAGAATGCAGCAAATCATGAAGAAGATAATACAACATGACCAAGAAGGATTTATCACAGCAACGCTGGGTGGGACAACATATGCAAATCAATAAATGTAACATACCATATAAACAAAATAAGTAAGAAAAACATGTGATCATCTCAATAGATGCAGAAAAATCTTTTACAGGCCAGCAAAATATCTCAGCCAACTAAGCACCTGCTTAGGTTAGCGCAGGGACCGTGGTTCAATACTCGGTACCACTTGCTGCACCGGCCTTCCCCCAGGGCCTGCTGAGCCAGTCATGGGGACTGGGTATGGTGGCACATGCCTTTAATCCCACTGCTGGGAGGCTGAAAACAGGAGGATCCCTATGAGTCCCAGCTGTGTAGTGAGACCCTGTACCAAGTACATAAAAAAGTAAAGAAAAGAAAAGACTTTTTTCAAAATCCAACACCCATTCATGACAGAAATCCTACAGAAAACTGGGATAGATGGTCTTTATCTCAAGCTGATAAAGCCACCTGTGACAAACCAACAACCAATATCGTACTGAATGGTCAAAACCTGATGCCCATTTTTGGATTAAGTCTTTGAAACTGGGGGGCCTGATTTGTTTTTTAATTCTTTATATATTCTAGATAGAAGACCTCTGTTGGGAGGACAGTCAGCTGTAAGTTTTTCCCAATTTGTAGATTTTCTTTTTACTCTGTTGGAGATTTGCTTTGAAGTGCAGAAACTTTTCAAAGAGATGAGACCCCAGAAATTCTGTGTCACTTGTAATATTTTTCTGTTTTAATTCTAATTTGTACTCTCTTTAAAAATTCAAAAAACATTCAGGAACAAGAAAATGATGTCTGCTACCACCACTCATGTATAATATAATGCTGGAAATATTAGCCAGAACAATTAGATAAGAGAGAGAAATAAAAAGAATCAGGATAACAAAAGAAGGTGTTAAATTGTCATTAATAGCAGATGCATGATACACTACATGGGAGACCCCAAAATCCCACCAAAAGATTTACAAATTTAATAGCCAAATTCAGTTGTGTAGCCAGATACAAAGTCAATATTCAAAAAGTAATAGCATTCTGTACTCATAGCAAACTCACTCAGGGAAAAATTAGGGAAACAACAACTTTCACCATAGCATAGAAAAAAAATGAAATACTTAAGACTCAATCTAACAAAGGAAGTACAAGGTCTCTACACTGAAAACTACAGTACTTCGAAAAGGTCAAAGAGGATATCAGAAAATGGAAAGTTATCCCTTTCTCTTGTGTATGAAGAGCCAACATAGTAAACACAGCCATAGTCCCAAATTGTTATACAGATTTAGTACGATGCCAATCAAAATACCACTAGCATATCTCACAGAATTAGGTAAATCAATCCCAAAATTCACCTGGAACCAGAAGAGATCTAGAACAGCAAATGCATTTCTAGACAAACATGCAAAGGAACAAGCATCGCAATCCCTTACTTGAAGTTATACTACAGAGCTGCTGTGATAAAAAAATAAAAATAAAAATAAAAATAAATAAATAAAAACCATGGTATGGAAAAAAAAAAGAAAGAAGGAAAACAGACCCAAGGATCAATGGAACACATTAGAAGACACAGGAACAACTCCAGACACACTCAGCCACCTCATCTTTGACAAAAGGGGCCAAATACATTCACTGTTATGAAGACAGCCTCTCTAATAAGTGGTGCTGGAAAAACTGGCTTTCCACATGCTGAAGATTAAAAGTAGATGCATGTCTATCACCGTGCACTAAGATAAGATCAAAACGGATGAAATGTTCAGATAGTAACAGAAACTAAATCTGTTGAAAGAGGAAATAGGTAGAACTCTTGACAACATAGGTGCAGGCAGAGACCTCATGAGTAAAACCCAGATCTTATGGGAGATACTCCAAAAAATCAACAACTAGGACACTCATCTTACCAAAAAGCTTTTGTAAAACAAAAAAAGTTGCAAACAGAATGAAAAGACAAACCACAGAGTGGGAAAAAGTATAATCCAGTTATCCTTCAAACAGAGGACTTACATCAAGAACATGTAAAGAACCGAAAAA